TAGAATAGGCTTAAAATCATAAATAATGTTCAACGTTAAACTGATACACAGTTAAAAACATTTTATTTAGGCCTATCTATGTAACGTCGAAACATGTAGAGTCGTCAACTTTTTGAAGGCCTAAATAAAATGTTTTTAACTGTATACCAGTTAACGTTGAACATTATTTATGATTTTAACTTTATACACAAGTGCCAAAATACTATAATAGAATAGGCTTGTCAGAAAATGATTGTGATGCAGTTGTCTGAATTTCTCTGCCTTTGACTGAGTCTGATACAAAAAAAGAGACTGGACACACGTTTGTACACAGTGACATAACCTTTATTTCAGAAACATAATCAATGTTTAAAAGCTGGTATAAATGTATGTCATTACTCAAATTTAGCTTTAATCATGCCAAGAGTGTTATGATTTCTATTCACGAGCTTAGAATATTGTTGAAGCTGAAAGTAGTTAGTTTGTGAAATCATTCCCTCTAATTGTAGTCATTCATTCTAAACTGAAGGAATCTGTTATTATATACAGAAAACAATTCGGCCAGTTCATTCAGGGTGTAAATCTCCCACGTGATTCTTGTTTCAACACAAGGGCCTTTGGCATGCCTTTAAGACAGCACCTGACTTTCCAGCAAAAAATACAGCTCTATATTTTGATACGACATGTTATATTACATCTGTCTTTCCTACTAGAGGGTCCATGTGACACCCCAGTTGAGTGACCCAATTTCAAGTGTAACTATGGTGAGAAGAACTGAAAATAAACTTAGTTGCTCCCTTGACTAAATTTCTATATTAGAAGCTAAACATACATCATATGCAGAAAAGTTTTTTTATTCTTATCTATTAATTAAAGAGGTAGAAAATGTATGGTATTCCTGCATACCACAAATGCTTCAGAAATGTTAGTTTTTAATTAACACTGACCTAGAACACTTAAACTCGAAATGCTATAAATATGATTGATACTTTTTTTATTCTTTTAACATACCTAGCTAGCTACCTAGACATTGAATACTACAGACATATTAGTTCTTAACAATGCTATACGTGCCTAAGTCAGTTTTTACGAAACACCAGCTACCAGCCTAAACCCTGATTAATAGAGGCATGTCCTTCACTGACACCAAATAAAGATCTGAACCCCACATGATACAAATGTGTTATGTTTTTATTAATACAGGTTAATCATTAAGCGATATGATATGCTGGAAATATGTAAGTTCTTGACCAAAACCACCTATCTGCAAGCAAATATTATGTTGTTACTCTTTTAAGCTTTCAATGAAACATGCTCTTTAAAATTAATTTGTAACTTATGGCTCTATGTTATCTAAAATTTCATATCCAATACGAAGTTTTCTAAAACCTTGATAAATTGATAAAACAATTTATTTATCAGTGCATAGTGAAGTGTTTGACTCACCGCTGCTGCAGCTCGACCAGTTACTTCAGCATATAATGCAAGATTCTTCTGAATGGTGATTTGAAATGGGTCATCATTTCCCAATCTCACGTGCTCATAGACAGCAGCAGTGAAGTAATCTGTTTGACTCGACCAATGAACCTGCGAGATAATGCCTAATACGTTCAGTATTTGACTGAGTAAGGCCAAAATCATGCTAAAAAGAAATAAATGGAAAACTTAATTAAGTAGTATTACCCACTCATAACTCATATTTTTTTAAATATTACTAAAACCTACCAGTCAATATCATACAAGTTTCATAGAATATGCATAAATAACCTTCTAGAATTCAAAATCTCGCAACATGTAACCCACTTGAATCTACAGATTATCAACAGAGAGCAGGCTTTATTCTGTAAAACATATTAGAAAAACAGAATAAACAGGACTTTGGTTTGAAACACAATGTACGTATTTCTTTTTTTTTTCCATTATTTTTACCGTATGTATTGTTACGTCTCCGGTCGTTAGTTAATTTCCCGTATAATTTCTTTCGGATGAAACTTTAGCGACACACTTAATTTCCACAGTCGCGCTATAACAAATGCTATAATTCACAACGAACGTCTCACGTGCTCCACTCAACGATATGTCTCTCTCTCTGTCTGCAGTTCAATTACAGATTGTTGCCGTCAATTCTTGGCGGCTTAAATATACAATACTACCGCATATCTAGTTGCCTCTCGAGACTTCAGGAAGGGACTTGAACGTTCTAGAAGTTCATGACGTGTTACTAGCGTCACGTGACTTCCGCTGTCGTAACACTGCCACTTCCTTAGTATTGTTCGT